AAAATTTCATGTCATTAGCACCTCTAGTAATATATTTACTGAGAAAAATGGTGACGTGTTCAATACTTATTTTACCTGCTGTACTTTTTATCCAGATAAACGGTATATCTCTTGGACTATTAAATCTTTTTCTGTGTTATTGTCTGATTGATCATCGGTCAGGTTTCTATAAGCAGGGTTTCCCCCAGTGCATTATGAAGCTTTACATGCTTTCCTGCCAGGTAAAGGCATGTAAAGGTGGGCTGTCCTACCACCAGGTCAGTTTTCTGGGGAAAATCCAGTCAGAACCATATTATTGACAGAAAAAGTTAAACCCTTATAAAAATAAGAACCTGTCAGACTTGTGCACAGCAGTGTGTGAAATGAAGAAAGCATACAGGCCACAATCCTTTTCTTTTCTTGTGTTTCAGACTGCAGGCTCGAGTCGCACATCGAATCCAGGAGCTGGAGACTCTGCCGGGCTCTTTGCCTCCGGACTTGAGGACTAAAGCTACAGTTGAGCTGAAGGCTCTACGGCTGCTCAACTTCCAGCGGCAGGTACACCACAGCTCTACTGTTAGACTGTTTAAATAATGTGGTGCTGGGGTGCAGTGGTAGGGCAGCCCACCTGGGACCAGACAGTCACAGGTTTGACTCCCCACTAAGCTCACAWTGTGTCCTGCTGCTGCCCTGTGCTTCAGGTGCCATCAGAGTCCTGGAGGGACTGATTTATTAAAGGGTTCTTTTTGAAGGCCTCTCCGTCCTCCTCTGAAGCTAACGCGCGGTCACGTGGTTGTTGGACATTTGTTTTAACACACACACCTTTCATAGCCTCTGAGACACACTGCGCCGAGCTCCTGGGAAACCCCTCCCACTGTGGGACAGGTCAGGGGTGTCCTGATCCAACCGTTTCACTCTGATACAATACCAATACTGACCTGATACCATATCAGTAGGAATGACACACTTTTACCTGTTCTGTGGGGTGAAATCTTAGAGAAGTCTTGATCAAGTCTAACAGTGAAACAGAGCAGGTATGAGAGAAACTGACTCATTTATTTTGAACCAGTGGATCACATTTTTAACTGAAGAACATTCTACTATTTAATAAAATACATAAAATAAATGAGAAGACCCTGAAAAATAAAACATAATAAAAACAAAATGTACTTTTAACGTGTAAAATAACTATACAAAATGACTCCAGTTATTGTTTTACTACCTGTCAGCCTGGTGCTGCTTTATGGTGGAAAAACTGAAGGTGGGGACAAAAGAAAACCACATTATTGTCCAATGTTATGTTCAAAGTTACAGCTCCAATTTAACTGACTGTGCCCAAAACAACATGATCATTGCACTTAATCTTCATTAAAACAAGTGTGTAAACAGATTAAATATCACTAATAACAAGAGCAAAAAATAAATAATAAGATTCAGTTATTTAAATTGATATCTATCTTTCTTACTGCTGCATTTCCACTTTCTACAGTCTGAGCATCATGTGGAGATTAGCCTCTCTCTCCTGCAGGGAGCAGATTATCACTGCTCTCATCATGTCACATTCGTATTCCAAAACAAAAGCTGTGCTCTCCTTTCTTCTGTCAGTCAATCCCAGAGCTAATCCACCAGCAGCATTCTGCTGATGTCAAAACTGTAASYACTGACCGGACCGGAGAGGAGGTTCTGAAACAGCACGGTTGGAACTATGGAGACAGACTGGACCGAGCCCAGCCACATAGCTTCTGGCAGGGTGCAGAGTAGAGCCTGGTTGTTGACAGTTTTGCAGCTGCTACTCTGTTGTTGATGAAAATAGAAAGTTCTGCTGACATCACTCCTACTTCTTGTTACTTTGTTAGCGCAGCATGTTGTTGTGATCATGTGACTAAACATGCTGGATCCATGCTCTGCTGGATACAAACACTGGAGCGGAGTTAGTGGACTGCTGGAACAGACTGCTAATATCGAGAGTATTTTTGCAGGCCGATAAAATCTGATCCTCGTTTTTTGGCTGATATTGGACCGATATCAGTATCGGATCAGGACACCCCTACAGGTCACTGCACAGGGTTCCTTCCTGCTGGAGTCTACACTCTGCTGTTATTTGTCCATAAATCTGTCCAGGTTAATGCTCCACACAGATCCCTCTGTGCAAAAACATCTTTTTAATCTCCTTTCATGTGTTTTTATTGTTTTGCAGTGTTTAGAAATGTCTTCTGGTTACAACAGTCGCATCCTGGAAGTGAGTGGTTGAAGCAAATGCAGCATCTGAGCTTTTAGCATAAAAATACATAGGGCTGCGACAACAAATCGATAAAATTGATAAAAATGGATTATTAAAAAAGGCCCTGTGATGGACTTGCGACCTGTCCAGGGTGTACCCCGCCCCTCGCACTGTGACTGCTGGAAATGGGCACCAGTGACCCATGCGACCCTGAAAAGGAATAAGCGTGTACAGAAAATGGATGGATGGATGGATGGATGGATTATTAAAAGCGTTGGCAACGAATTTCATTATCGATTTGTTGTGTCCCGTAATTTATGTGTCCCTCGCCGTGTCTCGGAGCCGTTTATGTCACCTGCAGAGCGTCGTCAGTGCTGGATGACCTAAATAAACTTTAGGAAGAAAAAACTCTACCTGTAGCTCCGCCCTCTCTGAGATGTCGAGTGAAAAGCAGAGACTTAAAACTTTAAACTAGTTTTTAAATTGTGTTGTTAGGCCAAGTAGATCTGAAGATATGATAAAAAGTATATGACAATGAATTTTTTTAAAGACATCTGATTTGATGCATGCCGCGTTGCGAGCAGGAAACATGTCCCCGTGGTGAAAAATAAAAAAATACCTCAGTCGACCTCAGTCCACCATGTCTTCCTCCTCTCAGACCAGAAATATAAAACCCTCGTCTTTTTTTCTGATCGAGGCTCAAACTTATTTAACAAACAGCAAAAAGGTTCAGGATGAAGAAAAAAAGACGCAGCAGAACTCCTGGTCTGACTCAGTAGGGGAGGGGGGAGGAGGGATGGGGGGCTGCTTCAGAACCGGGTCATTCAGTCAGACAGAACCAGAAGGA